ATTGAGCTAGTCTCATCATCATTGTTTTTCTTTTGGTTGTAGCCTTGAATGCAACATCCTTCTTCTTCTTCTCAACTACTTCAACTCCACCATCAACTTGAACTTCTATTTCATATGTCATCAATTTTCCAATGAGATCTTCAAGCTCAAAAGTGTTGAGATCCTTAAACTCTTCAATTGTGGTCTTCTTGGCTTCCCAATTATTGGGCAAGCTTCTAAGAACCTTCCTCACCACTTCTTGAGGAGGATACACTTCACCAAGACCCTTGAGATTGGTGACTATATCATTCAATCTTGCATACATATCTTGAATGCTCTCCTTTGGTTTCATCTTGAAAACCTCATATATGTGAGTGTATCTATTGATTTTTTACTCCTTCACTTGACTTGTTCCTTCATGTATTACTTCCAACATGTCCCACATCTCCTTGGCCGTATCACATCTGGATACTCCATGGAATTTCGTTGGATTGTGTCACACCCCAAAACCCAATTTCGAGACGCAACAGACGCCGTGCACTCGTGAGAGGGTCCCACAAATGCACAAGGCTCGGAACTTATCACACTAAACTCTGATACCACCAAAATCTGAAGATCAAATATTAAAAATTCTCTCTAATATCATAAAATCTCCAAGTACACTCTAGCTTACAAGATCATGATTTCTAGAATCTATATCAATCTCGAAATGGCTAGCTTTCTAACTCGTCACTTCCCGTGGTTTCCCCGTCCTCGGTTTCACTTCCTGAAATGGTGGACAAGGAAAACTATGAGATAAACTCAGTAAGTAAATATGGATTGCCCTTAATTAAACTTATAGCATGCCAACATGTGCAATCACGAAAAACGGACACAGTACGAGCACGAAATAGACGTCTCCTCTATAGGTCACGGCCAGCGTTTATAAACCTCCCACTGGCGGGCACACGAGTACTAGTGTATAATCCCCACTAGTAGGGCCACAAACGAACCGGTTCAAACAATAACATGTCGACATGTGCTAACATTTATAAACCTCCCACTAGCGGGCACACGAATAACATGACCATATCGGAGACAAAACAGGCAGAAGTTAACAGGCAAATCACAATTCACAATCACTTTCAGATCATCAAGACGGTCACTTAAATTTCAAGTAGGCATGCTCAATTTAATGAAAAGCATAAAACATTTCACTTCAAATCAGTCATACTTGTGTAAAACGGGTTTAGTCCCGCTACCACTTCAAAAACAAATCAAAACATGTTTTTAAAACAGTACGGGCATTACCATAAATTTACTTACCTCACTCGCATAAAACCGAGCACGCAATTCACGCACTAACTAACAGAACGATCGGGAACCTAATCAAAACACCTTAGAATTAATACCGGACTATCACAAATTCAAGCTGAAATCATCATTAGGATCATTCCTAATCACAATGCTATTCCTATCAATCTCCACATGATCAAATATCTCCAAATTCGTTCCTATATCACAAACTAATCACTTAAATTCCCGTTAAATGTTGGTCCTCGGGGTGTGAACAGTAACCGGTGAATAGTACCCGTGAACAGTACCCTGACTTTCACAAATTGGCCAAAACACTAGCTAATCTCATGGGGTTTTCTCTCCAAAAATCACAACAAGCAATTAACGCTTAATCACATAAATCCCACTTGAATTAGTGCTTAATCATGGTCCTAAAGCTACCGGAATTATCCCCCATTTTAGCCAAATTCGAACATCACAAAGCAGCAACTTTAAATGGATAGTTTAAGCCTTAAATGGCTGTCACATACCAGAATTTAGCAAGCAAAACCGAGCTGCAGTTTGGGAGAGAAGCTGACGGCAAGTGCAGGGAAGAATCACGCAATCTACCCAAAAATGGGAGGAACAAGAGCAATTAAGGCAAACCCAAGGCAATTAAAGCTAGAGAAGGGGAATTTCGAGCTATTTCTTACCAAAAAACCACGCCAATTCACCCCCACAAGGCAAGAGCAGCCGGCGGTGAAGAAGCAGAGCAAGGCAGATCCGGCTTTTCCAGCAGGGGAGGGAAGATTTCTGGGTTCTAGGTGTGTTCTAGAGCAAGAAAGAAGGAGAAATCTCCAAGCTTTCTCACTAGTTTCTCAAAGGCTGGCTGGGTTCCCTTTCTTTTTTTCCTCTCGGGTTGCAGCGAGAAGACAAGAGCAGAAACGGGTGAGGAAGAAAGAGGAAAAGGAGAAAAAGA